CTCCATGTGAGAGAGGTGTAAAAGTGTGTGTGTACATGTAGCATTACCCAAAATATTATCACAGGTACTCCTCATCAATCCGGCATAGCTGTGTAGCCTGCTCGATTGATGTTTGATTGGTTGAATAAATGAACCTGAATTCAAGAGTCGTCAAAGTTTTTGCCAACATAAAAAATAACAATTTCACTTTCGTTTCTGGGTAAATATACCATCTAAATATGTCATTAGTGTAAACTTTGAAAATAAATGTGTTTAAAAAGTGACGATGATTCGAAAGGTTTATACTCACAGCTCTATTTTACCTTTAAACGAGGTTAACTAGGTGTTAATTGAGATAAATTATTGTTGGATGACCTAATTGAAATTTACTGGAAATATTTGTCCATTTCATCCCTGTTTCCCTAAACCCTCAAAACCCTCATTCCTTCGTATCTGCAGCTTTACGAACTCCATTCTTGCTCTCACTTGTTCAATATATAAACACATATTGATATGATATACCCGCACGAAAATTTACACCTGTAAATCAACTGTATTTATTTCCATTATTGGATGTTGAAATGAAAGCGCTGAGAACACTGACCTTGATTCGAGCTTTATCTTCAAAACCTGGGAATACCCACTTCAATTCTGCTCTTTTAAGCCGCTTCTACTCAGCTCAACCTCAGCACGATGAATCCCCAGTTACAGCTATTACAGATGAATACGATGACGCGTCATCAGTATTTGACAGTTCTCATTATGATTTAGACGTGAATTTGAACAGGAGTAATAGTAATGACGATTCTGGGTCCGAAAGAAAGTCCACGTGGGATGATAAGTACAGGGATAATGTGAGAAGTAAAGTGTTTGGGGAAGATGTGAAGCATTTGAGAATGTTAAAGAGAGAAGAGGAGAAGAGGAAGAGAGCTGCCATACTCGCCAAGTCACTGCTCGAGGCCAAATTGGAGCTGCCAGATGAGAAGGAGGAAGCGGATCCGAGGGAGGTGAAGGAGGAAGATCAGAAGTCATTAGCTGTTGGTATTATTGGGGCTCCAAATGCTGGAAAATCTGCTCTCACTAATTGCATTGTATGTTTCTTTTTTCTTATTGGAGTCTAATTTTGGAACGTACTGGATGAAAAATATGGGAACACTAATCAGATTTGATAATTTGCTAATGAAGTTGTTACTCTTGCTGATTTCTGCACTATTTTTACTTTTCTTGTTACAATGCTATTTGTGTACTCAATTAGTTGATTTTTCCGGTTAAGAAGTCTTCCTACTTTTTTTCATGTTTTATGATGGTTAAGTTCAGGCATTCAACTTTCTTGATATATGGATTTAATGTTTGGTGTTGGACATGTTTGGTCCTGAAGATGCTTATGGATTAAATATTAAAGAGAAATCATTTAAACAAATACATTCTGAACACACTATTTTTGTCCGTTTTATGTTGTAGGTGGGGACTAAGGTTTCTGCTGTTTCTCGGAAGACACATACGACTACTCATGAGGTGTTGGGAGTTATGACAAGAGGAAATACCCAAATTGTATGTCTTTTAACTAATTATTGAATGTGTTCACCTCATTTCTGCTTTTAAATTGATTTACAGGCTTGTAGATGCTTCTGTTCACAGTGCACTTCCAACTTTTATAACCATGCACAATTTTCATATATGTTTCCATGGATTATACATTTATTATAGCAGTTCTCTTTGTATGTGTACATAATTTTTCATCATACTAGTCAATTGTATTGTAGCCCAAGGCAGCAGAACAAGGCCTGATGACACAGCCTTCATATTCTCTGTAGTTCTGTCTCTCTAAATGTGCTTGAAAGTGTTTATTGAGTGCAGGGTCATTGCCTTTGTTTACAGGATAAGACTATATGAAATCTTATAGCGTTTCTTTTTTACTGATTGCTCGTAAGTTTTCATGTTTGAAACCCTACTAAACAAGAAGGGTTAACTTCGGTTTGGAGGTTAGGGTACCTCAGGTTCTAGAACATCTTCTCCTATGATGCAGGACTCAGGATTATTTTATGGAATGTTAAAAAGAACTGGTTTACTACGTCTTCTATCTTTTATAAGCAGGAAATGTTCACAATTCACATTCTATGCTGGTATAGAAATCAACTGTACGTATTTTGAATTTAATGAAGATGTCTAACTAATTCTAATGATCACAGTGTTTCTTTGATACTCCGGGACTTATGTTAAAGAAAAATGGATTTCCTTGCAATGACATCAAAGTCCGCAATGAAAGTGCATGGAGTTCTGTGAACTTATACGATACACTCATAGTTATATTTGATGTTCATAGACACCTTACCAGGTCAGATATTCCTCCCTGTAAATTTGATCCAACCTCATCACAACCCCCCCCCCCCCCCCCC